TATATATATATATATATATATATATATATATTATATTATATTATATTATATTATATTATATTATATTATATAGTGGCTGCTGTTTGTGAAGTGTTTGTGTTTTAATTTTTTTTTTAGGATGTAGGAATGTAAAGGAAAGATAATACACTACAACAGTGTTTTTGTTTGAAATTCCCCAAATATTTATAATTCTATGTAAAAGTAATAAAGTTTCTATTTTGACTGTCAAGAGCATGAAATTGTAGCTTGAATATTAAAGCTAGAAATCAAGCACACCGCAAAATCTGCATTAAATATCTTTAAAAGAACGATTCGACTCCTAAGAACTGACACTTGACAATAACTTTAGTTATAACTGTGGTTTTGTATTAGCAAAAACGGGAAATATCTAACTCACTGACAGAAGAACGTATGGGGTAGTTATTATTAAAGGCTAAATAAGGCTTTTAAGAAATGCAATAAAATGTAATCTTTACTTTAATTAGCTTAAGTTTGTAACTGTGCAAAAATAGATAAGCATATCAATAAAAACTCACGTTGGTTGCTGGAACTCTTTATCTTTTATACTTGTGTTTTCATACAAACCAAAGCTCAGTTGACCAGGCAGTTGGCATCAAAGGATATTTTTGTCTTGCTCTGCTCTTACTTATTTATTCTTTATTAATGTTTATTTCAATTGAGTTTACAATTCCTTAGCATGTCTTCCAAAACTGATTTTATAAATAAGCCAACCTTTTAGCTGACTTAAAAATACATAAGCAAATTTCACCACGTGTAGCTTTTAACCTGTCATTTTTACAGGTGACAGGTTACATCCCACTGATTAATAACAGCCCCCCCCCCACACACACACACAAAGTATGGGGGGGGGGTTGGGGGGTGCACAAAAGAAGCTCAAGTCAAGATTCACTCTGAATCAGGAAGACTCTTATCAGCTTCATCTGAAGCACCTGCTATGTCCCTCAGCCAATCAGCTTCAGGACTGCATCTCCTATAAAGCCAATTGCAGAGAATTAGTGGCTCCATGCAATCAGCTGGTTTTCTTTAGATAGAATATTTTTTACCAATTTGAATGTGATAGCTGTGTAAATAAATAGACTGAATTGGATAAAACGTTCAGCTTTTCTTTGTACGAGTCTCTCCAAATTGAATTGCTATTAAGGTAGTGACAATGGCCAATTTGCCAAAATGGGTAAGGACAGCCTGTAGTTTCCAGAATGTTTCTGTGTATTTATGCATTTTTGTTAGTGAAAGAAATGTAATTAGTAATCCAACTTGCTTTCTACCAAACATCTATGTGTTATTTGCAAAAAACAACAACAAAAATATACATAAATTTATCTCACATGAAGCATACATGTATGATACATGTTTATTGCCCTGTACTTACAGTCTGTTTGTGGTGTGTCAAATATTTATTTCATTGTAAAGCTCTTTAATATCAAATATACAGGACCCTCCTAACCCGACCCACATTTGTATTTGTTAATGAATGGAGCTAAATGAGCAGGGCTGTGGAAAAAGAGCCGTTTTTCTTCTCACTGTCACAGATTCAAGCTTTTACTGTGAAGCCGTTGAGAAGCAAGGTCACAGTGGGGAAACTTCATATCTGTCCTTGCCAAAAAGCAACCACGTGGCAGAGTGAACAGCTTGTTTTATGTCTTACTCGGAGCGGATTTCCACGCTCTGGTTTATAATCTCTCGTGGCCCATGGAGCAGCTTTGGGGAAAGCCACCGGACCCGGACACTCGCTGGAGACATTTATATCCAAAATACTAGTGGTCGGAAGCTTAGCGCCTCCTTCTGTCATACAAATGTATCCACGCGCAATTGCGCGCGCGCATACACAGCATCAAACCAAAATGGGTGCACAAGCCTCTAAAAACTTGCATAAAAATCGCAAAGTGTTAAACTTTCTTTGCTTCTTAATTACCTCCTCCCTGTGCGCTCTCATAACGCGCGCGTGGACGCGCGGACCAGCCGGCCCCTCGCGCAGCCAAGTCTGAATAAACTGCAGTGCGGCAGCAGTTCGCTATTTTAAGAATGTTTTTTACATGAAGTGGATAAATATTTCATCTCGTTTTCCAGTCCGAGGATGCCTGAGCGGATAAAAGGGGCAGTGGCATACTAAGTTTTAGAGACAGAGTCAAGAACCATCTAACCTCTCCGCTCAGTTCCAAATAAAACATCAATTTCAACTAACTCACACCACAGCCTCACAATCATAAACAGCCAAACATGAAGCAAAACAAATGCCCCCCTCCTTACCTCGCCTGAACATATTGACAGCAGCTGTTAGGACCGTCTATTGGAGTATCATCCTTCAGCAGATTGTTTGGATTTCCTTTGACCGCTCGCACACAGACTGCGCTCTTCTCTCCTCGGTGGCGATTGGTAGAGAAATAACAGAAGCTTGGCTGATGGAGTTAAATTTGTCCAAATTGAGGACAATCAAGCACAAAATAATCCTTTACAGTTTTCAAGACTTAATATCGAAAGAAAAAAAACAAACACCTGGTCCCGTCCCAAGAGTCTCAAATCATTTTCAGCTCACCGCCATCTGGTGTTTATAAATGACTAAAACACAGTCTGACTTTATTTAGAGTTGGAGTTGAAAGGATGCAGTTCTGGGTGGATCCAAGAAATGATCGATCTTAAAAGGGAAGAAGGAAAAAAAGACAGGAAAGTTGTTTTACGTTTACTTCATCCCGATTCTCCCGTCGGGGTTTGAGCTGCAGGTATGGAAGAGAGTCCAGAATGTGCTGCGTGAGTCAGTGCCTTCCACTGTCTCTGTTACCAGAGAAGCTCCGAAGCTTCAGTCCCCTCCCCTTCCACTGCGAGATGCGGCTGCTGAATGCTGGAGCATCTCTCTCCTCTTCCCGCTGTCTCAAAAATACAAATACCCTCTGCTTTACAAGACTGACAGGGAAGAGGCATTTATAGTTATCAAACAGTTTTGGTAATAATTACAAAACTGACACCCTAGTTGGTTTATTTTTTTACTGTGCCTTCTTCTTTCCACTTCTCTATCATGTTGTTGGTCCTTGGAAAAACAGACATTGCACATACTATTGTTCAAGGAGTTGCTTTTTGCTCATTCTGAATTCTGTTGGGTAAATAATAAAAACTGTTTTAATAGATGGCTTGAAAAGCAACTAAAGATTATGGCAGTTTTTTTTAGATCCATTAAAAGTAGTTGACATAGACCTATACTTAGACGACATATTGTAATTTTATACAACTTTCTGACAGTAAATGAGCAGCAGCTTAGCAGTGAAATTAACATTTCTATTTCCTAAAGTGCAGCAGTGATCAAACGTAAACAGTGTGGGAGAAAAAAACACGGTGCAAAATGCAGTGCTATGGAAATTCAGTGCATTCAAGACATATTATGGTGCAAATTTGCAGTATTTTGGTTTGATGTTATGATTGTGATGCAGAGTCTGTGACTTGATTTAGAGTTTTTATAACAGTTCAGCTGTTTGATGGCAGTGGGGAGAAAGCTGTTCCAGAATCTGCTGGATCTGCATGGAATGCTGCAAAGCTTCTTCCCAGGGAGCAGCAGGGAGAATATATGGTGGGGGTGTGAGGGGGTCACTGATTATACCATGGGCTCGGTGGAGAAAAGGACTGGTTTTATTTCTACATCAATTAGTGAAGTTATTACAAAATGAAAATAGTTATAGAAAATGTATAGGATTGTAATTAGTTGTAATCTATGACGAGGATCATAAAATGGTAATGGTCTGTTAAATTTACAGAGCATCATGTTCAGATGAGATATATAGAGATTGGATGGAGGAAATATTTGCGCCAATGAGATACAAAACTATGTATGTCTGTGGTGATTCCAATATTGATCTATTAAATGCAATGTTGGGTATGTGCCTGTATAATTATTCTTTAATCAATAACACATTAGGTAATAATGTTAGGAATTAATCTAAAGTGGTATATTTATGAGTGAAATTACGGATTACCGACCCGTATTTACATTGTACATATGAACAATGCAGTATAAAAATATTTTTAAAACAATATAATACAGGCGAGTTATATCAAAGGAAGCCTTAATCACTTCTAAAAATTAACTAGTTGAGCAAAATTGGGAGCATTTTTAAAAGAAAACTGACCCCGGCAGTACTAAGGTAAGTGTTTGGAAATGTTTCAGCATTATATGATAAGAATTATTCTATTTAAGGAAATACAAAAATAAGATAGATAATTCTTGTCCTCAGATAACAAAAGGGCTGACTAAAGCCTGCAAATACAATAGGCTGTATAACTTCCGGTAGCAAAAAAAAAAAAAGCAAGACAAAAGAAAAGAAAACAAGAGAAGCAGAAAAAGTATAAAACATATAAAAACTAGAAGAGCACTTGTAGAGCACAGACCCTCGTCAAGCCACAAATTTTGTCCCATATCGTAACTCAGACATGATCTGGATCATTACAAAAATTTTAAGAATTGTTCCTCTGCATCAGGTGTGCCTTTGGTAAAAAAAATTCCTTAGCATCCTTTCATAACTTTATAAATGAGGCACAGTGTGTGTCAGCAGCCTCTGGTGTTTGTTCTGCTCTCAATTCCATTCCACTCTGCACTCTGCTTTCTTGTCTGATCAGCAGATCAAGATTTTGAGCGAGGCATGCTTTACCTATCCTGTGTTTTTGTCTTCAGTATAAGACTTCTGGACCTTTTTGAGTCCCGTGCTGGAGCTGTCAATAGTCACTGCTGCCACTGTCTGGGTTAGGGACAAACTGCTTTTTCCACGGAATAATGTTAAAGAATACTTTAAAACATTTCTGCATCTGGATTATGATGGAATAACAAACACATAAACACATACCCAACTAAAAACATAACTTCCTTGGTGGGGGAAATAAACTGATTGGAATTATAAGATGCACAGAAAGAAATAATATTAACAACAAAGACACAACAACAAAGAACAAACATTATATAAGGGTAGTTTACTTTTTATATAATGGTAAAAATAGCTACAATATAGATATTATGGCTGTCAGATATGATTGTCAGCCTGTTTCTATCCAGGCCCAACTTGCCAGAGTTCTGTTTTTTAAGAACTGTTGCATTGACCAGGAATAAGAAATTCTGTTATTTACAAACAGGAGCAACACTGGCTCAATTGGAGTCAAAATATTTAGGTATGCTTTAGTATACTGTATTATAAGAGTATATGGATAGAAGTTACAAGTTTACACTTTTTCCCCATTCACTTTGAATATGTACTACTGTGGTATACTTGAGTGTGTTTTCACAGTGTTTTGTATTTTATTTTATTTGCATCTTATGTTGTACATATTCAAGTGAAATATATTTATTAATGGTGAGAAAGTAACATAGTCATTTTATTTTGGTGATTTTCATCTGGTTGTGTGGTGAATATCTAAAAGTTGTAGACAACAGACCTGGAGGACTACAGTTGAAAACCCTTCCTAAAGATGGAAAGCTATGTCTTGTTAGATTTTTTTTATTTTTTTTTGCCACGCTCCTGCCGTTTTTAGATGATAAATGAAAGAGTGCTACTCGGGACAATTAAGGTTTTATAACCTAACACTGCTTTAAACCTCGCTACAACTTTTTTCCTGATGTGCCAGCTGTGTTCCCCAGTTTTTATGATGCTGTTTGTTCACAAATGTTCTTTAACAAACCTCCAAGGCCTTTACAGGGAATGAATTACACACAGGTGGTGTGTAAACTATACAGCTCTAAACGTGTTTGATTTTTAAATATAGCGGGGCAATGAATAAAACCACTCCAAATCTTCCAGGCTTTATTTTTTATTCGTACAGAATATTGGAAGTTATGCCCTATCGCTCAGGCTCCTATGCGCATGTTGAATTAAAAATATATATATATATATGTTTTATGCCTCTAATATGGCTAAAAGGGAAACAGGTGAATTTGGGTGAATACCTTTTCAATGCTACAGTATGCATGTTTCCAGTTGGATCCCACAGGGGTGGAGAAGGACTATTACTGTGAGCTGGTATCATTAAAGGTTTTTTAGTGGGGCTATTATGAATTAAACAACCACCTGCTGTTGTGGAGAATAAGATAATAAACTGGAAAGGTTTGATTAAATCATGGAATCGGTAGCACTTCATATGGACAGCAGTCAGCTGAAATCTACAGGAATGCCATCTGTGGTAATTCATTATAGAGAACCTTCAGGCAGGTTCCAAATGGAAAAATCACATTATTCTCTGCTGGAAAATTTCAGCTGAAATCGGCGACTGTGGTTACATGGTGATATAACTCAAAGGATATGGCAGTAACCATTCAAGAAAACATCTAATACTTCTTTAAGTGACTGTCCCACTTAAGATGAACATGAAGCTGATCAGGGAAAATTAAATGATCACAAATTTAAACACAAAAAAATCTTGTTCCACTCCAAGCTTGATCTGTTTTATTTACTCCTCTCTTCCACAGTTAAAAGCCAAAGATGTCAACTTGCAAAACTTTACAGAAAAACTGGTCTTTCTGTGCACGAAGAATTGTATTCAAATCATACTGTTAATTACAAAGACTATGTTTCAACAGCAAAATGCACATATAAATTCTGTTTAATCAATGCAAACGAGGAAAATGAGAAGATCCTCTTCTCCCTACTGCCAAAAAATTACACAACCTCAAGATTTACTTCCTCCTCACATCTACTCCTCTGATTTCTGCAATTGTCTGGTTACATTCTTCCTTTTAAAAATGTAACAGCTAAACAGCTGATTATGAGCTGTGCCTTATCTTCCTCTGTCCCTATTGTATTTCCCCCTACTCATTTATTCTCAGCATTCACCCTCCCCATTTTTGAAATTATTAAAAAATCCAAACCATCAACCCAATGGACCAGTGAAATCTGCCCCCCACCCCCCCAACAACTGTCTCCACTCATCAAAGACATTCACTATTTTCTTACAACTGGCATTGTTCGTTCTGCCCTCAAGACAGCTGCTGTAACTCCTATACTCACGAAACCTGGTTTATATCCCAGACACCTCGGTAACTTTCATCCAATTTCTGATCTCCCATTCATCTCCAAAATTCTTGAAAAAATTGTAGCTGCTCTTCTCCAAATTCATCTGCCCTGTAATAATCTGTATGAACAATTTCAGTCTGGTTTTCATTCCCATCATTGAAATATGTACACCCCACTGAAATGGCTCTTATTTAGGTTATTAATGATCTTCATCTTGCTGTTGATTTTGGCTCACTTTCCATTCTTCTGCTTAATTTGACTGCAGCCATTGATACAATTTAATTTGCCCTTCTTATTTACATCAGAAATATACCTCTTAACTGGTTTTTGCTCATACTTTTCAGGCCACACTCAGTTAATTCAGTCAAAATTATTTACTTCTTTAACTTTCCCTGTTACCTTGGGTGTCCCCAAGTTCTCTGTCCTGGGGACCATATTGTTCCCCTTAGCTACATATTCCCTACATATCATATTAATTTCCATTGCTATGCAGATGATACCAAGCTCAATCACACCAAATCCCAACGCCATGCTCCCACCCTTCTCCCTCATTGACGGTCTCATTGAATTAAAAGTCTGGTCCACTTCAGATTTTCTCAGATTAAATTGTGATAAAACAGAACTTATCGGCACAAAATCTACAATAGACTAATTTCATAATTTTCCATCACTAATGATAATGTTTCCATTTTACCCTACCTGCAGGTAAATAATCTGGGTGTCACCATCAACAGAACTTGCTTTTCCTCTCATGTCAATAATATTGCCTGGTCTGCTTACTTTCACCGTCATAAAATAAACCATTTCAGTCTCTCTCTTTCTAGTCACTCCACTGCTGTCCTTGTCATCATCAGGTGTGGGCAACTCCATTTCCTGGGGCTCAGTATCCTGTAACTTTAAGATCCATCTTTGATCCAACACACCTGAATCAAATGTCTGAGTCACCTCCTCGGTAGACAGCGAGTTCCTCCAGAGTCCTCTCAATCATCTCATTACTTGATTAAAATGTGTTGAATAAAGGCACATCTAAAATTATCATCATCGTCTTTGTATGATTCAGTTTCTTCTTTTTTACTTTTCTTGTTTTTTTTCTTCAGCCATTCACAGTGGGATTCTGGACCCTTGTCTAGCTGCAGAGGTCAAGTTCTCCTTAGGAAATTTTTTGACACAGAACAAAAGGTCTGGATTTTTACCCCCTTAACCACATCCGGTCTCGGAATATAAACACACAACCACAAGCAAGCCTTTTTTTCTTTTCTGTTCAAAAGCATTTTTGTTTCCCGAAATGGAAAATGAAATTCAAATAATTTTTCTAATTTTTCTTTTCCCTTTTTGACAATAAAAAACAGAAATGCTTTAAATTTCAATTTTGTTTTTGTATTTTAAAACAAAAATCTAATTGCCATTAGTTTTTGTTTTTTTAATTCATGTTACTAAAATGACCAAAAGATACACGGACCTGGCTCATTATCTGTTTTTGCCTTTTTGTTATGGGAACAAATAGTAAGAAAACAAGTGTATTTTTGCATTTTAAATTTTTGGTTTCAACTTGAAAAACGAAAGAACGAATGATACACAGATTTACACGGACCACTCTGCTAGACTTGTGGACAGCTTGAATGAATCTCTCAGCAAAGACATTGTGACAGTGAAGGTGAGGTAATAAAATAAGCTAAAGAAACTACCGTTGTTTTTTAGTATTGTTTATTTACTTATGGTGCAATTAAACATAAGATAGGAAAATTTAAAAACATCTTATTATGATGTATTATTGTTTTTGGGTTTTGAGTCAGAAAAAAAACATATTTCAAACATTGCATCTATTTTCATATAGCTATTATACATTTCAGGAAGTCTGAAACAAAATACAATATATTATTTTGTTTACCGAACTGGATAAAATTTAGAATAAACAAAATAGTTTTTTGCTGTGCATGAATGTTAGCATAAAGAAAAATAAGTGGAGAAAAGAGACAATATGAGCTGAGGACCAAAATAAAGATTTTCAAACACACATTGGTACAGTGCACAAGTCTACTAATCAAATTCATTCAGCACAGATCAATTCATTTATTAATAAATCATTAGCGTATGAAATGCCATTGTTAACATAAGTGCTTCAATTACTGCTCAGTAAATTTCTATCTTGCGTACACACAATGGTTTTCCGTTACTGTAACTGATAAGACCTTCAGTCAGGTGAAGGTTACCTGCAGCTCAAAGATTTAATAAGGATTAACACACCTCTAAAGGGATTTACTGTGTTACATCTAGACTTGATTGGCATCCATCAACTCTGGAGACTAATTCAAACAATGCAAATTTCTGCTAAGCTATGCAACCAAATTTAATTTAGCAAGACTGACACAAGCTGAGTTGGTCATAACAATGAAAGATTTTTTTTCTCAGTAATAAGACGTGAAAAAGAAGTGCTACGTTACAGGTTCTTTTTTTTTTATTATGTTTTGCTTTTTTGTCACATTTGTTTGATCTTCTTTGAACAATCTCAGCCTGAGGGGCTCCCAGGCCAGCTAAGAGAGATGTATTTCCTCCAGCATGTCCCAGGTCTCCTCCAGGTGGCACATGCCTTGAACAACTCTGAAGGGAGGCGTCCAAGGGGCATCCGAAAAAGATGTCCCTTTCAGACTCCTTACGATATGGAGGAGAAGCGGCTCTTCTCCGAGCCTCTGCACAATGACCAAGCTCGTCATCCTATGTCTAAAGGTGAGCCTAGCCGCCCTGCGGAGAAAGCTAATTTTGGTCCCTTGTACCTGAGATGTCTTTCATTGGGTTATGATCCAGATATCATGACCGTTCGTGAGGGTAGGAACACAGACCTACTGGTAATTTGAGACCTTTACTTTTTAATCCCTTAAGTCAAGCCAGACAGACAGACAGACAGACAGACAGACAGACAGACAGACAGACAGACAGACAGACAGACAGACAGACAGACAGACAGATAGATAGATAGA